AGCAGGATGGTGGGGAGAAATAACTTCATTTCTGGATACTAATTCCAGTAGCAGCTGTTTTCTGCTCACAGAAATATGCCTGCGCTAACGACTTCACGCTTCCAGCAAAATCACTTCACCGCAGTGCATGCTGAGCTGTCTAAGGAGCACCGTGTGGTGTTTTTTTTTTCTCTCGGGAGACGCAGAAACATTCGTCAGAGTCGACTCATTCTGTTTGTGCACACATTTCTGATGACTTTCCTAGCTGAACAGCATCCTCTAGTTTGGGTGGCAGAGCATTATGTCACAGGGCTAATATCTTCATCACTTCTGTGCAGGGAAAGTGTCCAGAGCTTCCCTGGTGGAAACATTTTCAAAAACCTGCAAATGGCTTTGCCACATGCTTGTGTAAAAATGAACTCTTCTCTGTATAATGTTAACTGGAAAAAGCAGTTTGCAAAACAGTATATACAAATTGAACCAACCCATTTTTTCTAAGAACAGACATTTCACACACACACATATCTTGTTAAAATCCGGTATTAACAATGACTGTCTCTGGGTGTGAAAGTGGAATTAACAAGTAACGTTCAGTTTTTTCTTTGCACTGTGTCTAGCTCCGAGTGTTTCCTCAGTGAATATGCATTCTTTTAATGAAAAGTAAAACCTGTAAAAGGACAAGCCTCAGAGTTTCAGGGAACAGAGCCAAAACAATCTTCATTTTTGAAAGGTATCATAATTGCATTTGGGGTAGAGCACTTGTAGCTTTTGAAAGATGCTGCTCAGAGGAGCCTGCAGGGGCCGCGGGCCCCTTCACTCATCGTTCAAATGCAGAGCCTGGGAGAACCACATACCAGGTAGAGGTTACTTTGGGAATAATTTATTGAAAGTCTCTTTCTTGCCGTATCTTGAGTCCCTGGCCCCCAGTACAATGACCCTGGCTTTAATTCAGGCCCCCATCATTGCTCACCTGTCTTACTCTCTCGGCCTCCTCCACCAGCTGTCCCCCTGGATGCAAGTGGACTGCAGATCTCCTGGGATGGGACAGGAGTCCTTAGCACCACATGCAGTGCCCTCCCTGCTTCTCCTTCTGCATCACCTACTGCCTTGTCCCTTGCATTCCCCCAGGTGCCTGCACCTGGCCCTCCTCCTCTAAGCCCTCACTCAGGGGTGAGGCTGCCTCTGGAGCCTTATGGAAATCCAGCTCAGGCTCTGGGCCCCGCCGGGCACCAGGCACATCCTAGGTCCGTGGTCGTGTCTGTTTTCCGTAGCTGCTGGGTGGCACAGACCACCTGTTCTTCATATGTGCTTAGATGTGGTAGAGGCTTCATCGGTATCTTGTCCAATGAATAAGTGAATAGGTGTTTCAAATAGCTTCTAAAATTTCTCTTTGAATCAATTTTGAAAGTCAGATGACCTGAGAAGATATTAAAATAGAAGCTAATCTTTGGAACCTTTGCTCTATTTCTAACCCTTGTTCTCAGAAGGAGGTGTTCTCGCGGGCTGGGGCTTCAGGCTGCTCCTGGGGGATTTTGTGTGGCTGTCTTTCCCATGGAAGCAGAAAGGAAGGAGGAGCGGGCCTTTGGTCCACTCAACCCTGGATTCCGCTCCAGGCTCTGCCGCTTCCTTTCTAGGGGATTTTAGGAAAGTTGGTTAATGTCTCTGCGCCTCTGCTTCTTCATCTTAGTTAGTAAAAGAAACTAAAAATAGTTCCCTCACAGGTCATACGTGGGATAGTATATGTAAGGCCCCTGGAACGCATTCGTTCATTTGATAAATATTTGAGTGCCTGCTGCAGAAGAATGTGTGCCCTTAGTGGGAAGCAAGATAAGAAGTAAATAGGAATGAGAAGACCCAGGAAGAAAACACAGCAGGGTGCGAAGGGGTGGGGAGTCTAGGGAGGGGGCTCAGGCCAGGAACCACGCCTGGGGAGGTGCCGACGGGAGAGGCCTGGAGGGAGCGAGCAGGAGGTGTCCCTGGGAGGCCAGTGCCCCTCACTGGCAGGGAGAACAGCAGGCCAAGCGGCAGGGGCCGAACTCAGAAGGAGCCTGGAGGTGGTGCTTGGAGGTCCTGGCACAGCCTGGGGTTTTCGTTCAGAGTGTGGTAGGAATCACCAACAGTGAGGACTCAATAAATACATGTTTCCTTTCCTTTTTATCCTTTCTTGTACTTAAACAGTATGAAAGCAGTTCCTAAACTGTTCCACAGTGTTGTAGCCCAGGGCAGGTCATTTAGTCTCACTATGATTTTAGTCTGCTGAACCGCCGGG